AATGAAAATTGTACCTTTTTTAGATTTAAAAATGCCGGCCCATATTGCTTGTTCTATTGCAACTAACAAACCCTGCATGGTTTTTGGTAAATCGATTTCATCGTGATTTGTGCTACATGTATATTTTTTTTTTGTCACTCATCTAAATTCTTACTTGAATATCATAACTCAAATGAATCTAACAATGTCAAATTTCTTGATTTAAAAAAATCAACTTCTTATCTATTGTTTTTTGTTTTTTTTTGGGTGTGTTTAAACTGAAATTTAATTAAAAAGTAGTTAGAAAAAAATTACAAAAGAAAAGGAGGAAGGCCAGATTGAGGGGGTCTTTAATAGCCATCCGATCCCGTACAGGAGCTATTATTCCCGTACAGAGCTATTATTGGATTGTAACCCCTCATTGTAAAGAGAGGCTCAATAACTAGGCCCGGCTTTATATATCTCCAAAGAAGTATACTTATTAGGCCCATTCTCAATAAAAAATAAAATAAAAAACTTATTAGGCCCACTCAAGCACAAAGAATTCGAACCCACCATTGCACACATAGCCACCCATAAAAAACAATGCTATGGAGCTAAAGAATTATATTTGCATATTTAAATATGGTTTTCATCTAATTAATCATCTTTATCTGTAATCCGGAGACATAGAGCCAATAGCCCATATGAAACGAGGACAGTAGTCTGCCGAAGCCCATGTTTTCTGGGAGGGAGGGAGGGACCCATGACAAAAGTATATATCTCGGTCTTTTATTTTATTTTATTTTTATTTTTATAATTATAAATATGTTGAGAGGCCATTAATTATTTACCAAAATAAGGGAATAAACAAAATAGAAATAAGCTATTGATAGTTCGTGGGTTGTGTAATTTGAGAGCCCATAAATTAAGTTTAGACCTGGGCCCAGTTATCACTACTTTACGGTTGTGAAAATTCTAAGATCCATTTAGATGGAAATTTAAATAAATAAATAAAATAGAGGTGATAATATACTATTTATTGAGGAGAGTAACAACTTGTACAACCAAAGCATGAGACCAAGGTCAGGGGATTAGGAAGAAACATAAATATGTTAGATATTATTTGTTGGATTGAATTTTGAGTGACTAGATATATTATCTGTTTAGGAGTGCTTTTAGAAAGGCTAAAATCGTTTTATGATAATCAAAAGCCCTTCTTATTCTTATAGCATTTGACGGGAAAGTTTAGAAGTTCTTCTAGGTCATAGAAGCACTCCTAAGTGCTTTTCCATGAAGTACTTCGATTTCTTATGAAAATTTCAACATATTTATAATAAAAACACTTTTGCTAGAAGCGCTTCCTAGAAAAACAATTTCAAATGAGAAGTATAGTCTGTTTATGTTGGATATGAAATTAATTGAGGGAAAGTATGAGGTGTCAATAAATATGAATGGAGAAATTCTAAGGTGTAATTGTCACACTACTACGTGGTGTTACTAATTTAGGTGGTATGAGTGAACAATGTATTTAAGTTGAATTTGGAATGACTAGATACAATATATCTAAGTTGGATATGAAATTAATTGATGTTAAAAACTCTTAGATTTGAATTTCCAAAATAAGCTTTAAACTAATTGGAAGAGTCATAAATTTTTTTAGATATACAATGTATCTAAGTTGAAATTGGAATGACTAGATAGAATATATCTAAGTTGTATATGAAATTAATTGCTCTTAAAAACTCATATTTGAATTTCTAAACTAAGGTAAAAAGTTGGATATGAAATTAGTTGCTGTTAAAAACTCATAGATTTGAATTTCTAAAATAAGCTTTACCTTATTGGAGAATAATAAAAATATGAGAAACAATGTATTTCAGTTGAATTTGGGATGACTAGATAATCTATGTTTGGATATGATATTAATTGTTGTTATAATTTCAACACCCATTTGGATAAAATAACATAAAAGTATGAATTTGAATTCCCAAAAAATGTTTGCATTAATTGGAGGAATGACAAAAAGTTTAGATACAAAGTGTTTCACTTCAACTTGAGATGACCGGATACAATATCTAAAGTTGGATATGAAATTGCAGATATGAGCTTTAGCTAAGTTGGCTAGAGCAAATGCTCCCCACTTTGTATCCGAGTTTGAATCCACTTTCTCGTAATTTAGATTAGATTAAAGTAGAATATTAATTTGAGGTTTGTAGGCAGGTAATAACCGACCGAAAAAGAAAGCAAGATAATTCCGGGATCATGCATGCTCTTGCCAACAAACAGCACCTAGTATTTTCTCTGGCCAGAAAATTACAGAACAACCCTCTTTATTTTCAAAATAACCCTGCTAGAACCCTGCAGCTCAACTATAAAAATAACCTAAACATCAAGCATTCCGCCATCTCCAGTTCTAATTCATTTCTTATCAAATATTTGGGTTCCTCTGTAAGAGAGATAGAGAGATGATGGTGAATGTATTTCATCAGCGGTCTGGAGGCCAAGATGAAGGGGAAAATGATGCTAGAACTGTAGAGTCTAGCATGGACTTGAAAACATCGAATTAAAGATTCACCAGAATAGGGAGAATAGAACCATAAACAGAAGGAATCACATCCATGGGGATTGATTTAGCTGGCACACATGTTAGCAGGAAATTGGTCCCTGTGAACTGGGTTTCTTCTGGTTTCTTGAGATCATGCTACATGCTACCACTTCAGAATTGGCAAAATATGAAACCAAAGAAAGTGGTGGAAAGCTTTGATGAAGCATTGCAAGAAGTTGTAGCTGGTTTCAGGACAAAACTTTGGATCTCAGATATATCCGTACTTGCTTACGAGTCAAGCTGCTCCAAATGCTTCAAAGGGTTATGTATTGGGATGAATAGAATTCATTGACTTAGTTTTGGGTTATGTATTGGGATGGGTAGAATCTATGGACTTGGTTTTGGGTTTTGTTATTTGGATTGTTGAGTTTTGGGTTATGTTGTAAACGAAATGATAAATAAAAATATGTGAGGTTTATTGATGACTAAAAAATTGAAATCCTCTTATTGAGCCATTAAAAGTGAGGCAAACCTCAAATGTTGACTATGAAGATCGAATCAGTGTCAAATCCAAAGAAACAGGAATTTACCTTCGCATATATCTCTTCATTCATCCATATGGGTATGGGGTGAACCAACTAGAATTCAACCTGCTTTGACGTCAAAGCCACCATGTATAAACATCACACACTTAATCCTGCATCCAAGACTAAATAAAATGTTGGCACCATCAACATCAAAACCCCAAAAAGGGCCAAAACCATCAAAACCAGCTGTCCTCGTCGATGACAAGACAGCGATTAGATTATAACCCAGCATTAATCTATCCTAATCTTTAAATAAATAAATAAAATTGATATGATTCTCAAGATGCTTTTAGGGTTCACAATCCATCAACAGCAAGTAAATCACTTCATCGACAGTCAAATTTGAAACAACAGTCAGATTTGACACAGACGCATAAACTGCTTCATCGACAGACAAATTTGAAACGCACGAGTGAACGACTGAGCTAGCAAAAGTTACGCATAAAAGCAAGTTCTACCTTGACTGTCAATGCCCTATACAAAATAGATTACCAAAATAAAAAGGTTTTGCAGAGCTCTGTTCAACCGTTACAACCTTTAGCACGTTTGCATACGTGGTGGCCCAAATCTATACACAAAGAAAGATATATTTCAAAACGCATGAAGTTGCAGAGCTCATCCCATGTGCACCCTAATATTTAATTACCATTAGTAACTTAACTTCACCTTTCTTTAACCTGCTCACTGAAAATTTTGCTAAAAACAAGGTATTCAAAGTTCCTTCAAGAAAACCGTTGTTGACCAAATAAATAAATATTTATAGAAAGGACAATGATGGCTGCATAGTCCCAGCCCAGTCCAGTCCAGACCAGTTTACTCAAATTGTGGCAAAATTTCTAGTAGCAAATCAAATCACCTGCCATTCATCATGCCCAGAAAAACAGAGAAGTGTTGCCCTAACCAAATAAAAACTTACTGGTAATTCCAGAACAGCTAGCCTGTTACTCTAGATATTCATGTATGATGATTTTAATAGTCAGAGTTTCATCTTTCTGTAGATGCCAAACCACAAAGGAGAACTCATTCTGGTTGCCAACATGTTATCTATGTAACTTGGCAGAGCATGTATAGCCAATCCCACATTCTAATTTCTAACACAGGACAAAAAGGAAAAATAATAACCAAATATGGAACCTAAATGAAGTGATAAACATACCAATTTGCATAGGAACTCAATATCTGCACTATAAATCTCCAGGATCATAGCTAGGACAAAAGCCTCTCTTCATAAGCAGCTATCACTTAACTCTCTCGAAGACCAAACATCTTCAAATCCTCATATACTAGCAAACCATAGAACAGAGGCAGAGAAGGAATGCATGGAATGTCACACTGTATAACCAATTCGCAAACAGAAATCCCATATTTCAATCACATAATACTTCAGACGCAGATTAAGAGTGTTGGGGGAAAAGGCAGGGCAAGAAAATTCAAGTTCTCTCTTGCCAATCATAGCAAGATTTTCATGTATGATTTGTCTATTTGAGAGTAGGTAACCTGGTAGATTCACTAAATTTCCCATTTCCTATATGGAGGCACAGTGGACCATCAGAAACTGAGGGCCATCATCCATGGGGCAATTAGCAGATACAGATATATGATGCATACAAAGGGAGTAATAAAAAGGTATGTATGTAAATACCTGACAAAATCAGCAAACAAAACGAACACCATTTAAATGATCAAGAACCATGCAGAACCACTTTCCAGCACAAAACAAGTTCCAGAACATATTCAAACCATTCCACAAAATATATGAAATTTCGGAATGAAAACCACAAAGTTGCAAAATTGTCAGTATACTTGATACATCGCAGAAGGGGGCACCTATATCTTCCATACAATTTGATACAAGGAAATTACAGCTGTATAACCTTCATAATAAATCACACAAATTAACAAACTTGCACAAAGTGAGAGTGTTTAAATGCGTGAACATACAGGTGCAGTATGTAGAGTTCTTTCAGAATTTAGGGGACTATAAAGAAGCACTAAAAAAGAGAAAGCCAAGGCACACTGCAAAAAGCAAAAAATCCTATAACAGAAGTTGAAAAACGATTACACTGGGTATAGAGAAATTTCAATAAAAGCCGATATGCATTGTAAAAACGAACCACTCTGAAAATTCTGAATGCCCAGAACATGGTTAACAAATAGTTCTGAATAAGTTATGTGCAGAGAAGCCCAATTGGCTATACTTTACAAGCAACACGAGGTAAAGGAACCTACAAGTCTGTCTGAGGCTCCAATCTTCTGTATACATACATGTACAACCCACTTCCGGCTTGAGAAAGGGACAATATACACCCATAACTATGTTAGAAAGGCTTAACCAGCTCTTCAAGAGACTAAACAATCTCCCCGTTCCTGAATGCACTATCCCCACAATCTGCACCTGGGTCCAATCCACAAGGAGAATCAAACCATTTAGAACTCCCTTGATAGAAGCTATCAACCTGTATACCAACAAGACCTACATCTCCTGCTATACCCTCATCATGTCTTAAGGACTTGGTTAGTTTAGTATCCTCGCAATTAAGGATGCTCTTCTCATCAAAGTCACTGCATCTCAACCACTTTTCTGGCTTGCAAGGGTCACCTATCAGATCCTTCGGACTCCTACAGTCTGCCCTCAGCTGTTCCCAGGGGACAGCATCCCCAAGAGTTCGCCCAAAACTGTCTTCATCATCCTCGATCAAATCAGCGTCCTTGCCATCTCCATATAAACGTTCGTGATGGTGATCACTCCAATGTGCCAAATCATTATCCCCGACCAAAATATCATCTGCAAGCGTCTTGTCTGGTAGCAAATCCATTGGCTTTGAACTCTCCTCTCCTATTTGTCTAACTTTATTCACAAGATCAAACAAATCTCGAGACACTGAACCCAAAAGCTCTTGCGGCAATTTCACAATTTTCTCTTCCAACTGCCCAACTTCAGCTCTCAATTCCTGCACCTGCTGCAAAACCAAAAACTGCATGTCCCCTTCATCCTTCCCCAACAGCCCAAACCCATCATTGTCCAATTCCTCACTCACACCGTAAACAGTATCCTGATCCATCAAAAGCCCACCTTTGTGCCCCACAACCCGATGCATAATCCTTGCATTCCCATCCAACGGACCTGGCTCATGCCCCGAGTGCACAGCATACAGCTTAAACACCGCCATCCCCTCTTCCTGATACACAAAAGTCTTGTCCTTCTCATTGTAATTCGCAATTGGAACAATGGCCCTAATTCGAAAGCCGCAGCCACACCTTTTAGAAGCATAGGGCTCCCTCTTCAAAATCTTTGACTTCTTAGCTGCAGGCTCCCCTGCCCTATGACAAGCATAGTCCTTAACCTCAGCCATAAAGGGCTTATACCTAATATACTTCTGCCTTATACACAACACCACCTTATGCTTAGCAGCCAATTGCTGAAGCCTAGTGGGCACCTCTTTAGCAGGCACATCAAAGGACTCAGTATACTCAAAACGCCGCCTTTTGCTCCTCCCGGAGAGGCCCGAATTCTCCGAGGAGCACACAGGGCAAGCAGCAACACAAACCCTAATGTAACTCTCAGGAATGCCATAAAACTTAGCACCTACAGTCCAAACCTGCTTAATCCTATCAATGGTTTCCTTCAACGCCAAGTGTTTCAAGTCAGTGTCGCTATGAAAACTCATAACAATGTCCTGCCACTGATTAATGTGCGAAACGAATTGCTGGTTGTTGTTCTTGAAACACAAGAATTCGTTACCGTTTTGGTCGACATGGGCGGCGAGCTTGTCCTGGATGCGCTTCCATGCGGTGACGTAAGCGGTGTCCTCGTTGCGGTCCTTCCAGACGACCCTCCAGGACTTGAGAACAGGTCGGGGCGTGGCGGCCCGGATCTCGGCCGGGGTGGCGAGGCGGGCCTCGAGAAGGCACTTGATCATGAGGGAATGGGACTCCGGGTTGAAGGTGTAGAACTGGGTCGAGATGTGGGGCTCCGGGGAGATGTAAAAGGGTTGGGATTTCGGGTCGGAGTTGGGGTCGGGGCGGTTGGGGTTAGGGTTTGGGACGTCGTCGTTTTCGTCGGAGGAGTGAGAAGGGGAGGAGGAGGATGAGCGGAAGAGTTCGATTTCGGGGAGAGGGGGGAAGACGGGGTCGTCGAGGACGACGTCGTCGGGGTTGAGGGAAATGGACGGCGGAGATTGCATGATCTGGGAAGGTGGTGGGCCCAGATCATGGTGGTGATGGTGGTGATGGAAATGATGGTGGAAGAGATCTTCTGTCTTGTGAGGATTCATGGGATTGATTGAAGAAGAAGAGGCACAATACTATTTTACTATCTCCTCCTCTCTACTGTTTTTTTGCTTCTCTCTGTTTTTCCTTTTTCTTTTTCTTTTTTTCCCTTCCGAAAGGTTTTGTTGTTGTTGATTTTGGCGTTGATGTTTTGGGTTGTTTTTCTCTCTCCTGACAAATTTGGGGGCACAGAGGGGTTTGTCTCCTCAAAGTCTCATCCCCAGGACCCCTCTATATGCCTCACTGTCTCTCTCTCTATCTCTCTCTCTCTCCTACTTTTTTCTCTCTTTTTTGGCCTTTTTTTTAATTTTAATTTTTGGTTTCTTTTTTAAAGTTTAAATATTTATTACGTTGATTGGTTTGTCTTCTCTGTGTTGTTGAATTGTTTTTTCTTTCTTTATTGAGGGGTTTTTTTTGTTTGTTTCAGCGTTTGAAGCCTTTTTTGGTTCTTGAATTTACTAAACCGATTTCACACACCAAGAGACAAACAAAACAAGGATTGAGCTAGAACGCAAGCAAGATGAGAGAGGGGGAAAGTGTTGGTACCTCTTAGCTTAGCATTGTGAAAGTTTGAGGGATTTCTTCTGCAATGGTTGCTTTGATCCCTACTCATTGTGTGCTTTGTTGATATGAAGATTTAGGACAACTACTTTGTGCAACTCGAAGTTATACAAAATGATAAGAGAAAAATGTATTCAAACCAAATTTCTTCAAAATCTTAATTTAATTGACTTACAATTCGTATATCACGAAGCCGTTTGTTTAAACTTTTATGAGCTTGGGAATGAATATGAAATTGCATTCCCATGTTTAGCAAATGCATTTTTGGGAATACAATACCTAACTCATGGGTATGATGAACTTCTCATGTCATATTTCCCCACCTGTCATATTTCCCCACCAATTTCTCACTCACCATGTAAATTTGAAAAAACACAATCATATATTTTCACCCACCAATGTTTCTAAAATACCCTTTAATTATGAATTGAAACACAACAGGTTCATGAGGCTCCTTCCCAAAGCCAATACACACTCGACATCCACCTAGCCCCTTCCCAATCTTTATAGAACTCTCTCAATTTTCCTTGTAGCTACAAGGCTACTTGCCCCAAGGTAGCGACAACACACAAAATTACGGATAGCAAATGGCAAGAGGAATGCGAAGGATCAAGTTGGGTTCACAAGGCCTGGGATGTATAGGCATGTCTGCCACTAACCTTGACTTTGCTTCTAAATAATCACTCTAAATTTTTATCCATTACCTTTGGCCCTGTTTGGTTCATGGGAAATGAGGCTTGGGGATGAGAAATCAATTGTTTTCTCATGTTTGGTATGTGGGCATAGGAAATGATTGCCTGACACATGGGAAAGTAGGGGGAAAGTGAAGCCCTCCTCCCCCCTTAGGTTTTATTTTCCTTCATCATGGGAAAGTTTGGGAAAATGAGCCAACATTAAATGCATAATTTTTTTTATTTGATTTCCTGTGGGTATAATTGGAAAATTAAACAAACTTTTATTTACATTCCTATGCAAACCAAACAGGTGAAAGGAAATAATTTCATGGTTACTTTTCCAGCATTACCAAATATGGAAAATGAATCTTCCATTTCACATCCCTTGGGAAAGACATGAGAAATTATTTTCTAACAAATCTTTTTCGCAAACCAAACGGGGCATTTGGGTTTGTTTGGGATGTGAAATTGGATGAGTTTATGATGAACTGAATTTGGTTTTGTTCTGAATTTGGAGTTGTTTGTATTGTTGAATGGGATAAACTAATGATGAAGTGAATTTCAAGATTTTACGAATTTAATATTTTGAATTAAAATAAGGGTGGCTTTGCTGTACAAGAAGGAAATAGAGAAAAAAGAAGAGGGAGAGAGGTGGGTCGGAGAAGGTGCCTGAGGTGAGAAAGGGAAAGAGGGGTTGTTAGACTACGAGATTTTTATTTTTGGTTTTAAATTTTAAAATTATTTTTAAAGAATTGGTGGCTTATGAGTTGAGGTTTTTTTCCTAGTCCTTAAAAGTTATTTTACAAAGGAGTAAATTTGTCTTTAAAATTTTAAAGATAAGGTAAGGGGGGAAATATGACAGGGGTGGAAATAGCAGTACTCTTTTTAAATACTATTTTTTACCCTTAAATGTTTTTCCTATTAATAACTTTTAATAATAAAAAATAAAGGTATTATTGGAAAACTAAGGGCTTGTTTGGGAGTGATTCTAGATAGGCCATAATCACTTTTGGGGAGAAGCATTTCCAATGTACTTCTTCATATAATCACTTTAAGTGATTTTAAGTGATTTTATGGAGAAACACATGAGAATTATTATATGGAGAATCTTCTCCATATAGGTAATTATTGACTTATCCAGAATCATTCACAAACGAGTCCTAAATAACTTTTCATTCCTAATACTAAACAAACCAAACATGAGAATGTGAGAAAATGACATTTCCTAGTCCTTATTTCCTAGCATTCCTAAACATGGGAATGAACATCCTCTATTCCCATCTCGTGGGATCAGACATGGGAATTTCATTCCCAAAAAGTTTAATTTGTGAACTAATTTCAATGTTGAAACAAGTCTCAAGTTCGAATCTTTCTCTCACACATAGAAAAAAAAGTATGATAGAATGACAATTACCCAAGCAATCCACCATTATTCCAAATCTAAAATGTCCTTCATTCCCTCTCATTTATTTATGGTGAAACGTTTTGTTGCAATTTTATAAATTCCACTCTTTACCTAATTTGCACATAAAATTCCTAATTTTTAACAAGTAAAAATCAATCACAATCAAATCATGAACCAAATAGAAATTCAAATCCCTATTTAGGGTGAGTTTTAGGATACAAGTGCCAAAATCCCACATGTAGTGTTTGAAAAAAAAAGCACAAATTGGATTTGAAGGTCACAAAAGCACAATATGCAAAAAACATAAAAATTTGTTTATAATATTCTTATAACAAAGCACTTCATGTTGTAACACTCAAGTCAACTCAAATTTCAAAAACAAATATTCAAACAAAATTGAAGTAAATCTCAAATCATCCACCACACTCCAATCTAACAAACATATGCAACTCAAACTAAGGAAAAAAAAATCAATAGATCTATACACAATCAATATAGATTCAATTATTGTATATTAATAGTCCTCAATAAATCTAATTTAATGAAATCATTCATTCAAATACGGTATACAATTCGAAGTTTCGTACCTTTTCTTAGTGAGATTGAAGCTATCAGAGGGTGGAGAAAACAATTCAGGAGTGAGAGATCCATAAATCTGAAAGTGAGACGGCGATAGATTGAGAGAAAATCTAGACAAGCTGAAAGATCTACTTGTTTTGAAAGTGAAAAAAGGAAATACATATATATAGGAAAGGAAAATGAAATGATGGGCGATTAGGGTTTCTAGGGTATTTACGTAATTTTCTTTAAACATTTCTTGCGAGAAAAATCTAGAGGACGAAGCACGTGCCCTTTCGTCCTCAAGTCACTTTGCCATTAGTTTTTTTTCTTCTTCTTCCTATGTTTCTAAAGAAGCCAAATTGGCCACCGAATTGTAAATTGCAGTTAGTTTGGTTTTGTTATCATTTTGTGTGTGCTAATACTTAACTAAGTCGCTCATATTGGTTTGTTTTCTTCGGTTATTAATGATTTTTTATTCTATACATAGGCGATAGTTTATACTACTCTAAATTAATCTAATTTATAAGGGGGATTTGCAATGAGGTGGGCTCGTTATTAATGATTGATGTCGTGGGATTGTAGTATGGATTGTATTATCAATATTTTCAATATTTAACAACACTCTTGGTATTAAATACAAAAATGGTTTTCGTTCCAAAAGATATGAAAAATGTTTAGGTTATGGGTCCAAGGTATGTGGTATGGAGTTTGGTCCGTGAGTATTGAGTCTTAAGTTTCGGCATCCCGAATCTTGTTCTCAAGTTTTTGGCTCGGTTATGAGTGTTAAGTATTGGGTCTGGAGTTAGGGTGCTTGATGGCTTGTGTCACGGATCGCACTTGAGCGTGTGCTTTCGTGACTCCGTTGGGACATCCATGCGCTTATGAGGTAGTCTAAGTGTGGAAGAGCGAGGGCTTAAGAGCTAGAATGGTTTGTGTTGGCCGGGTTGCATGGCTGAGGGGTATTTTGGGTATTTCCGAAGGTTACGGGAGGAATCTGAGGAAGCTAAAAATACTGGGACGTTCGTGTTGTCGACATACATGCAACGCAACTGATGGTTCGCCATTCGGAGTTCGTATGAATTAGTTATGCTCAATTATGACTCCTCGTGCATAGGTGATGTTTCCTCCTGGCAGAAGGCTAAATGCATAAAATGCTATATAGGGGGTGACATGGTGTCATGCTCTCCACCACCCCTGGTGCTTACACCCTTGTGGCACTAAGCGAGCATCCTTATGACATTGGAGGTTGTCATAAGGGCGGGCATGAGATTGTTGAAGGATAATCTATGTCTCCGAGGGAAAGGACTTCCCGAGGACAGTACGAACACGCGGGGCCGTTCGTATTGCGCATCGTTGGAAAGAGTGAGGTCAACGTATGGCATTCGCTATGCCGTCGGCTAGCGAGGCATTTGACGAGACTCGATGGACTTGGCTTGGGTTCGGCCTTGTCCAAGATGGAAGGAAGATATTCGGATGCCGGTACGCATGGGTTGCGACCCCATGCAAAGCATAGATGGTTATGTGGGACATTCGGAATACATATGTCGCCAAGGCTTGGGCGACATGCGAGCGTGACAGCTTGCGTGGATAGCTTGAGGATGTGGGCTATCGTGGTTGCTAACGGATGACCGACAGAAGTGTGGGTAAACCGATGGTGTGTTGGATCTCCATGTCTCGATTTGGACATGAGCGAGCCACGAGTTTGGCATGCGACGTGGTCGATGCAGTTGACGTGTCTTATGCAACGCTTGATGTATGGGCGTCGAGGGTTCGTTGCCGGATGCGGGGTGATTGTGTTGTCACAAGGAAGTGTGACTCGTTGTCTAGCCATAGGGCTTGGCGCCTATGGGAGACGACACATGATGGTGAACCTCTCGCGGAGTTGTGAGAGTCATGAAGTGGGGAGAAGGCTGACTGGGATTCGAAGGGATCCTGGGCCGCACGGGAGCGTTTGTGCGAGCGAAATTTGTGTTCTGCTTCCGCCGCGCCGCGTCGCACGCTCGTCCCGTGACATTGGGCTACGGTCATGGTTCTC